CTTCAAGTTAGAAGTTTCGCAGAGAAAAGTTTAAAATATGAGGATGGTTTCAGATCGCCAGCTACTTGAATCACTGTATATTCAAATTCATATTACGGCCATAGCTTGTCGTTGTTTACAAACAAACATCTACCCTCGTGTCTTTGCGTTTTTAGCATGCGTTGTTTAGGACTTAATTCCCGCGCGAGCGAAGGTGACGACCCTTCCGATTTACGATTGTAAGCCGCTTTTGTTTTGAACACAGGGGCTTGTGGCTTCGTGTCGCACTAGGGGATTCGCCGTCAGTTGTCAAGCCCCTGTGGTATTGCCAGCGCCACAATCGTTACTCTGTGTTCAGCCTAGTGTGAGTCCCATGCGATGAGTACATTGAGTGTAAATTATATAACCCTTCACGTGTTTATAATAACGTTATGGTACAAGTTAATCAGCCTTCGTGGCTGCTGGGGGTGTCGGTCTTCAGGAAAAAAAATAAAACTGTATATCGCTGTATAGGGTAACTTTAAGCATAAACTAAAATGCCGTGGCCCTGATTTATTTTGTCTTTAACACTTTTCTTATAAAATGTGAAGTTCGTTTTACCGAATTACTAGTATAAATTCCATAGTACTATAGTAAGATGTTTTATAATATACGATTTTCTGTTGCGTCAATAACGCGCCTGCTGAGGAAATCAGTTACGTCACAACAATTTTGTTCGACTCAGTGGTGCATCTCATCGGCTTAGAGGGCACGCTGGCGTGCAATACTAGTATTCATAGAGAATGATACGAGAACGCGACAAACCGGGAAATCAAACATCTGAAAAGTAAGGTGTGTTTGTTTCGTTGTCCCATCGGCCATACTTGGTATAAGTCACGTGCTCTATTGTCGCAGAACATTCACTTGCGTTGCGGGTACAGTGACGTCACATGTTTACATACCTTCAACTCAAAGAGTTATACCGGCCAGTTATAACATGCAAACACTAGCAAAACATCTGCATTTCGGAAGTGAATACACTTGTCGATGAATTGTACTAAACGACCGTGAATTGACCTCTAGCAACACAGTCTTGGTTTACAGGGGTACACTAACCCCGTTCATTGTTTCGCCCAGATCGTGAACTCACTCTTGTTGCCACGTATGGAATTACTAAAGTTCTCGACATACCTGTGACAGTGCGAATTGCGATGCGTTCGCCCCTGTGAAGTCATAATTTGAACGCCTATAATATTTCTTACAGCCGCGCGAATTAAACATGTCTTGATGTGCCTCACTGGCGACGCAGCCGCTAAGCGCACGTAACACATCAAACCCAGAAACAAATGAAACCCATGTTCACATAGCTTCCTGAGAGCGTACGAGACAAGTGAACCCTGTCAAACCGGGAGTTCCGTCGTGTTGACGCAAGTCGTTAAACACTTTCTTTCGACGTATTTGGCAGTGGTAAGACAGCTCAAACACACACAGATTGAGTCACAACACGTTAACAGTAAGGAATGGAATTGGTACTGTGGATCGATATGCGTTCAAAATGCGTGTTGCTGCACAATGGGAAACCACAGCGTACTGACCCCACCCACTCGTCAAAGGGCACCAGTTTGTGTTTTTCATAGTTGCATGTATACGCACCTGTGAGGTTGTAAATTCGGGCACAGATCGCACTCCCGAATGGCCGAAATTTGACGGTCGAAACTCTCCCCCGCACATTGTGGCGAAAAAGGGCAGGCGAACATTCAGGACTGTCTCACAACTTGTGAATCTTCAATATGAAGATGTTCTCGATCTATATTCAGACTTTCGTTGTTATTGTAATTAAGCTTTCAATGTCTCGATACGTCATTCGGCTGGACGCGTGATTGGCTGAACGCTATTTGGCTGAACATGTAACGGGGGGGGGGGTTATTTTCGTTCAACGTAATTGTAATATTTTTTTGTTCGTACAACGTAAATTGAAAAAAATAAATTCCGTAATTCTGTAAACACAGGCTAGACGTACAACGTAATCAATCAAATATTCTTTTCGTACAGTGTCATTTTCCCTGTACGTACAAGAATTTACATCGAAATAAAATAAGTCGTAAAGAATAATCCAGGGAAATTACATTTTCGAAACTGTAAAACGACTAGATGACACAATTCACTGCAAAATTCCATTTTCACTGTAAAAACGTCTTTTTTTTCCTTGTAAATTGTAAAAAGCCCTTTTTATTTCCCGTAAAACTGTACCAGCTACCCCCTTGCCCCCCTCTGTAACTGGTTGAAACAATTTCATACTCAGTATTAGATAACATTTGTGTCTCTCTTTTATGGCCAAAACTCGTTTTGCTCGGCACGACAGCTTTGAAAACTGTTCGACACTGAACTCGTGAAACTTTTATATCAATCATTGATTTAAATTTTTCTGTTTAACTTCTCGCCATTGCACATTTTACAAGTAAAAATAAATGAAACCTAAATTTGTGAACTGTTTTAATCTAGTTGACCAATATGACGTCTGTTCACACGTCTCAGTATAAATTTCAATAAATGTTTCTTACAAATTTATGGCCAACAGAAGTCGTAAACCTATTTTAGCATGGTAGTCAGTTATTAGCCACACCATGAAACATTCAATGTATTTGTGATAGTAGTTCGGAGCAGAACAAGTCGCATACTCTGAAATTAATGACACAATTCACAAAAGGATGGCGTTAACTCCCGCCATCTTGTATTTTCTTGCCCTGTGTTGCTATTATTCGGTTCTTTGTGACAGTCCCCTTCTTTCATTAGAAGAAACTTAAGGTTTTTTTTTAGTAGTATGTTCAAGTTTTTTCTTTATTTGATCTTGTTACAATTACTGTTCTTCTATGGAATGCGTAAATGTTTCTAAATACTAAATTGGACTATTTTCGTCATAGTTTGTACGTTATGATACGCGTTCACTGCTTTGTTTTTGTTTTAAATGCATGTATAATATGGGCTGATTTTGTCTTTATGTACTAATACAAATTCTCTCAAACAGTTTTATCCCAGATCCAGCAACTTTGTATTCGTATTATTCAAGACGGGCGAATAATTTTGAACAAGTAGTTTTTTTTGCTTTATCGATATTCACTGATGATGGGAATGATATTGCCCCACCTGCTTCTAAGAGATTTTCAGAGTTGTCAAATATGCGCGACGAAGTTCTCCGACCCCAGAACACAAAGCCAGTGTTCATAACATAAGTTTGAACGCTAGACCTGCATAAATGACTGCTAACATTAAGATTCCATTTTAAAACCTTAGGGTGCTAACGTGCGTAACATGGAAATGAGTTATCAGCTGTCCAAACTCCAACCTATAATGCGGACCACGCCCCAGATAAATAAATAAATAAAATATTTTTGCACTTTTGGAGAAAAACCTGGGCGCCCAAATGGACCACTGAAATTTAAATTTGATATTGATATTAAAAAAAATCGTGGCCTTTGAAAGCAAGATCACAACTAATTAAATAAATAAATAAATCAAAACCTCAG